TCTCTCTGACCCAACAGGCTACACAGGATGGCTTTTTTCAAGCCAGATCTTATCATGCCTGAAAAGTCAATGGGTAGAGGTCAGACGGACTTCAATTTCCTGGTCCCCCAGGTTGGGCGTTCGACTAGAATTGGCGTTTCAGTCGGTGAAAGTGGTGGAGGAGTAATCGATCCAAATAGATGGGCCTCCACTCCGCTTCATCCGCTGCCTTNGACGAAAACCCTAATTGTTCTCCTGCTTAGTGGCTGGATACCCTAGAAGTACTCGTCCATCAAACCCTAATGCATACACAAACAAAAAATAATTTCATACTGCATTGGTCGTCGCGCAGGATAATCAAGACCGCGATACCCATTGCATCGAGCGAGGTGAGTAGTGATAAGTGGGCTACTGCTCAGATATCCCCACCTTTGTCTTCAGCACCCAGCCTTCTCCATTTTCCCTTTCTTCCGACCTGTAATATTCCGTCAAGCAACTTGGATGTCACTCGCCAAAGGTCGTTGCCCAATAGTACTGCAAATAATATACCACGAAACGAACTGCAGATCCTAAAGCCTCGTCAATCACTTGGGTGTGTTTCCGTCCGAGAGGACTGTCGGAAGTTGGTACCAGACAGGAAGAGATGATCTGCGCAGAACGGAAGAAGCCGATCGGCGTTATCTGTACGTGGGCAGGGCAGAGCGCAGCTACCACCTAGGCAAGTTTCAGATGCGCTCAGTTTTTCCACCTGCGCGTTGAAGTCTCCTGAAAGTGCAACTATGTCGAAGCTTGGACTCACTCGAATGAGATCGGTGAGTTTATTGTAGAAAGCGTCATTTTGTGCATCAGAACTGTAATTGACTGATGCATATCTGTAATGATCGTAGTAGTAGTAGTAGTAATAATACGCACGGGACTCGGAACACGAATCAAAGATCGGCCATCACAGACTGGATTATAGAAGCACTGGACCGCAATGGCACGAGCTAGTAATAACCCACATGACCGAGACGCGAGGAAAAGGCCACAAGAATGGTAGTTCATTTATTGGAAGAAATGAAGGCGATCATAGATGTCCAGAAACTGTAACGCGCCGCTCCAGGATAGGTGTCATCACGTAGGCCTGGATCACCACAATATCCTGATGTGATGAACAAACACCTTTTAGTGCTGCTTCCCTTCCGAACACTGATTGAAACCTGGGACGAACTGCACATAAACGACTATTAACGGGGATCCAATCGATAAGAGACGACTCCGCCTAGTTGCTGAGTACAATACCTACCCTCGCGATGGCCTACTGTACGGGCTTCGTCGTTGCCTGATTTACGAAGAACGTATCTCGGGGACAAATCTGGCGCGGTTTATAGTAATGTTGTGAGATACTACTCACTTGTGAGTAGTATGTAACTTTCAATTATCAAAAATACAACAGGACTACCAAGGGCCAAGTGATGTGTCTGAAAGAATAACTACCGACTGCCCTATGCATTATTCGGTGTGCCGCCAGTCATTATCACCATTATTGTACAGCGTTATACAGTGAAGCGAGCTTCACTGATCGCTGTCAAACTCATGATGCATACAAGATAAGTGAGGATTTGTAAGGAAGACAGAGATTGGGCCCATTTTTAGGGACGGGAAAAGAAAGCGAACCTCCATGGTCAACACAGAGTACACAACCCAACTGTGCATACATACTAATTCAAGCATTCTTTACTGGTAAGTGAAAGCACGATCGCCATTGCTGTCGGTTCGCAGCCATGGCCTTCAGTATCTCCAAACATGCGGTTTCGGAGTCTTTTGGACCCCAACCCGCCAGGAACGGCGACGGTATGTTTCTGATGAGATGTTCTGTGTTATGTATAGCAAATTGGTGATATCCCATCTTAGGTCCTCTATAAAGGACTATCCTCGACCACCACCGTCTTGTGGAATTACAACAACCGGTGCCGTCGCCAGGATCGGGATGAAGGTTCCATGGCCTGAAGCCTTTTAGGATGGAGACTCGCGGGCGATCCTGGAGTTCGAGGACGTCGGGGAATACGGTCGAACCGGGGTAAGTTAACAGCCTTCCGAGCGCGGGCGGTTTTGAATGCGGCGCGAAGAGGCCCGGAGAAGATGGAGTGAGCCGCCGTGAAAGACGCCCTGATTGCGGGTTTTGACACCCCGGCCGACCGCTAGCGGGCATTGTGGAACTTCAGGACGGCGCAGCTCGGAGTCGGTGTGGACTCCTTGTCGCATGCAGTGGCCCTGCGCGCCCCGTTGAGTAGTGCGCTCCCAACGTCGGATGATGCCGCACATTCAGGTTTACTGCTGGATCGCTTCATGGAAAGCCTACCAGAGGACTTGCGGGAGAAGGCATGGATAATTAATGCTGAGAAAACCATGGATGCATTCAAACTGGTGGATGTCTTGAGGGAATTCATCTGGAAGAAAGTCACACCTGTTCAGTTAACCGAAGACCCTGGGCGCTAGCCTATTGGAAGTACGGCAATCAAGAAATTAACAGGTGTCAGCGATCCAAACCGATTCCGACCAGGGAGCTCTTAGGAATGGGGACTTAAAGCTTGAAGATCCAGAGTACTGGCCAAAAAATTGCCCCGAAACACAGCGCAAACGGTCCATGAGAGCACCCCTCATGTCGTTCAAATCGGTATCCCCAGACAAGACCCTCTTCGGAATGGCTGATAGCTGCTCAGTCCAAAACCATATGGAGATGAGGGATCAGAAAATGCCATGTTTGTCCGACACATGTGCTGCTGTGTATATGGCAGAACCTGAGTCAACCGAGTCAGTAGAAGTCCCAAATACGGCAGTGAAGACGGTTGACGAACGCGAAGTTTACAGCGCAGCAAGTCGAACCTTCTCTAGTGAGAAAACGACGGACAAGCAAACGTTTGCCGGACTGCACAACAAAGCAATAAAGGAGTTAAGAATACCGGTGAAACGGAAACCAAAAGCGATTCTGAAAGTGCAGGAAGCAGCGTACATGTTGAAGGCCTTGTCGGTGACCCTGAATCATCGAAGTTACTTCCAAGGTGCCAAAATCAGTAATGAACTACGCAATGTATGGTGTATGAAGAATGACTTCTACAAGAATTTGTTTCGACTGCTGCAATGTTTGATCAACGGACGCAGTGATTGTTGCCGGACACATTAGCGCTTAAGTTTAGTCCTTGAGCTAATTAGAGTGACCTCTCGGGGATCCACATGGATTTTCATCCAAACAAGGGGTCAACCGAGCCGCTTAATTCAACTATGAGAAGAACACGGTTTGCTTCTATCGAGCATTAACAACTAACAAGTAGATGTTACACCCCTCACATAAAAACCCCGCTCGTCCCAGTGGTGAACTTAAATCGATCGCATTATTATCGGCTACCTCTGGTGAGATCTATTCAAGACTGTAGATCGTACTGGACTAGAATTGCGAGCACCGATCACGCTGTGGTAGGTCAGATGCGACTGGAACCAAACCCATCGGAAACGGATGCAAACAGAACAATGAAAGCTACGACAGAGAATGGCAACCATCTCATGACTTATCAATTCAACCGCTTAACGAGGGATTCAACAAACAAGATAGCAAACGTCGCTATTTTCGTGATCAAGAATACACGTCTACGAATACCGGTTCTGATTTAATCAAGGAGCGGGACGGAACGCTATCTCAAACAATGGTCAGAACACTGTACGAAATTTGATGCCTTCAGACCAGCAAGCTCTTCATTCAAGTGGGTAACGCCTACCAAGTGACTGTTTTGCCTTTTGAATGGGTTATTCGGGAGATAAGTTATCTTTAAAGGTGCGATGACTTTGATCGGGACAGGTTGTCGGTTCACCTGAAGGTGGATTCCGTTTGCGAGAACTCGCTTGTGCGGTTACAATCCTTCTTCAGTTCACTAGTCGAATCCGAAAACAAACGGTAAGCCAAACCCACCAGATGATGCTTTCCGGTTGTGGCATTTTTAACTCATTTTTTCCGAGGGCAGCTAAGTGATGGAACGGCGTTCCTATTTTTCCTACCTTCTAAGCACAATATCAACAAAAGAGTTTTGACATGAGTGCTTCCCCTTGTGTACACTAGCTCCATTTTGCTGCATTCGATTTCTTAGGCCAAAAACCATCAGTTCTTCGCTGGTATGACTGGTAATGTTAGTGAAAGCTAAAGAGCAATCGGTTCCTTTCTCTCTCAATTTAAGCACTGATAATGGAAATGCTTCGTTGTTCAACCGGTAGAGTGTGTGCTGTACAAAAGCGTGGGGGGGGGGGGGGGCGTCGATGTGGGTTAGAATTGCGCTGAGGCTATTGAACTTTTAGCAATTCAAACACAAGACTAATATCTCCAATAAACTACCAAACGACAAGATAATGAAAATATTTTCTGGAGATGTTGCACCGAAGCAGGTGGTTGCAATAAGCCGTCGCATGATTAACAACATATTCTGGAAGAAATTTTCAGTGTTTTAGTTTAATTTTATTTCCAACATGCACCTCTGGCACATGACACCCTCCGGTACGAACACTCAGCTACAGAACGCGACAAGGTAGGGGAGAGAGACGGTACACGTTTACTACGCAAGCTTGAGTTAGTACAGTGGTGGAAAGTTGGGAAAGCGAACGAAACAAAGTCAAATGATAGTTTGTATAAAGTGCCACAATGTTGGTTTGAAAAAGAGCGTTGATAAATTGGACTACGAGATCGTTCAAAAAGAAACAACCGTGGGATGACTGAAACTAGAGTGGAAACATGACTAAGTCATCTCCATACGAAAAACGGCGAACACCAAACGACTAGACATAACTACATACAGAAAAGACGATTGGCGTCAAGCGCAGACACCTTTGGGTCTATCGAAAAGGAATCCAAAACAAACATGTGGTGAAACCAAGAATAGAAAGATGGAGTATTGGGTAAAAAGAATAATGCAACAGTGTCGCGTATTTACTTTCTTATGTGTACGATACGAGTATCTTTCTATTCCCCCAGGGAGTCGCGGACATGAAATCATGGGCGACTAAGCACAAGAGCGATGGATGGTGGCCAGACGGATAACAATTTCTTGGAAGACATCTTCAATCGGTCTCGAGGCATCCACAAATGTGTGAAGCGTGCGCTTCTTGTAGAACGCAATCAAAGGGGTAGTCACCTCGTGGTACGCAGCTAGGCGCTTTCTGAGCACTTCCACAGAATCGTCTGGGCGACGAACGAGACGCTCACCAGTCACCTGAATAGTAAAAATAACACGGATAAGTCATAAACGAATGCATAACAAAAACGTAAACGAAACTGCCTTTTAAAATGCTGTGAGCAACACTTACCTGTCGAGGGCAGATTTGTATGTAAACTAGCGCACCTTTAGGTTGCGGCTAAATGCATACCAAATTCGGTGGTTTAAGCGAACAAGCTCGTTTTCGACAACTTCTTCTTCAGGCTAATACAGTTATATAGTCTAAATTAAAATTAAAATGTTCGTCAATGGCTGTGTGATTCGTGGTTGACACGTCCACGTCCTAATCGTTTTTCCTAACCATGTTACGATCACATCCTCCCATCCCACCCTTCCCCAACCACATACCAGAAACAATCACAAACCACGAATCACACACAGCCATTGACGAACATTTTAATTTTAATTTTGACCATATAACTGTATTAGCCCGAAGAAGTTGCTGAAAACGAGCTTGTTCGCTAAAACCACCGTGTTTTCTCTCCATGCCGAGATGGGAATTTTCCATGGCATACCAAATTGGTGACTAGTGGCGAATAAGGCGGGCTCATGTTTACCGAGTAAGTTGACAAGGACGAACAAGGGTAGTATCCGAGAGCTTTCGCTTGGCAAGCATCATTCCCACAAAACACGGTGAGCTTTAACAAGATGTGATTAATATGTCCAATTTATGGGTGACGTTATCCCCCATCCTCTCATTCCATACACTCAATAGACCTTTACAGAAGAGCGGAACAGTTGAGATTATTGGCTAGCGGCTCGTTTGGAACAACCATTCTACCCTACCGACTGTAAAGAATGTGAAAAGGCCGGCGGCACGAGCTGGAATAAAGAAGCCGAACGGTGTTGGGGTATCATTTGTAACCCAATTCCAGAAAAGCTTTGTGAATCACTGTGGTCAGCGCAGCCTACTCACCATCCGGCAGAACATGATCACATAAAGTCCATCATCTGCCTGAAAGGACAGCACACTGAAAAAGCGGCACCGATTCAAAATTAAATCAAATCAAACCTACACACCGCTTGAAGTAACAAGAGATTCTAGTGCGAACACTTGTAACAATGGGAATACTAACTTACTTCTACACAAGGAAGAGGAACATTAGTTAAAGTATATATTTGTGTTGCACAGTTCAACGTCCAAAACACTTGGTGTCCACTCGCCGTTCTCAAAAACCGAAAGCACCAAACCTAACAAATTATGGGACTATGATAATTTGTATCATACAATAAAAATGAAGGAAGATGATCCAAATGGTGGAAAACAGAATAAAAACCGTTGAATGGCTAGTATCTTTTGTTTTTGGGAGTAGGGTTAACGGGCGTTCGAAAATGATTTGTTTTCATGGAATACAGTAAAGTATTGTTCCTTGATGTTTTCGTTTATAGCATATAGATATACAACCAGAAGGTTGCCGAAGGAGACTGCGAACGGAGCATGATTATTACAACAGCCCACTGTGCGATGAATGATGAGAGGGTAAAGCTGATTGGATGTTGCCTAGTCCCGCGTTGAAAGTCAATGACCAGGAACCAGTTATAGTGGACTGCTTTTCCTACTTAGGTATTTATGTGACTGAGGGCAGTAGAGCAACAAAGGAGAGAACCGCCCACATTTCCAAGGCTTGAGCAGTGTATCCAGCACTGAAATACCTTTAATGTAGACGCGACGTTTCACTGAAGTTGAAAGGTCGTGCATATTGTGCTAACATCAATTTGCGAGTAGATATCCATCGACAAGAATTTTTCGGTTTATCAGAGATAAACGTGTTAGTTCAGCGAATTCAGATTAGTTGGCTTTGCTGGTTGGAACACGTATTGTGTATGCTTAGTTGCCGACTCGGCGTCGCGCCCTATTCCCTTTAGCCGCCCCGGGCTGGAGGAAACTACGTGGAGATCAACAGATGACGTGGAGACGACACATGACGAAATGCACAGAGCCATTAGGTAGAATAGGTGTCACGCGCCTCCTAGGTTGGGGTCCGGAAGACTCTCCAACTGGTTGGTTGGAGATATTGAAGGATATGGCAGCGAACTGACAACAGTGGCGTTCTTAGTGTCATTTCTTATCAGGCCAGATTGCTTGAAACGGTATGTATACACAGTTAGATTGTGTACTCTGTGTTGACCATAGAGGTTCACCTTCTTCCTGTTTCAAAATAGGTCTAGTCCCTGTCCATCTTAAATACTACCACTAACCTCGTATGCATTGCGAGTTTGGCAGCGATCGGCGAAGTTCGCTTTACCGTATTTTGCTGTACGATGACGATGATGACCGTTGTCTACGCCGCATTGCACGGGTTTGGTGGGGTAACCGGACAAGCGATGCTGAGGTTAGACGAAAACTTTCAGGTAAGCGTGGTAGCCCGTTGGGGTAAGTGGTCGGTCTCCATAGATTACGTTGTTTGGGACACTTGAAGAGGCATATGAATTCTAAGAAGAACCTGTTGTGGCAGTAAGCTTACACGCTACCGGGTGGATTTCATGCCGCTGTAAGTTGGATGGGCAATCGAAGATCGAAAAATCAGTACCACTTGTGTGGCTTCGTAGGTCAGTAGATAGAGCGTGCGCTGTACAAGAAGTGTAGGCGGTCTCCGTGTGTGGTTTCCAATCCCACCGAGGCCACTTAACCTTTTACAGTTCAAACAGAATACTAAATTGCGCAAAAGAAAACACTAGCAACATTGAAGGAGGGTCACTTACGTCATCTTTCATTGCAACTTTAGGTGGTTTGAACTCCTCGTGATAGGATCGGCCGCTGGCTTCGTGATGCAGACGTCCGCAAATTCGCTTTTCGAGCACTTCATCACTAACGCGAAGCTCGAATACTGCTATCAGTTTTCGTCGCCGTTTCCGGAGAAGTTCATCCAACTGAAAGGAACTAGATTACATTATTGTTCGAAAATACCGACCTTTTCCGCCTGATATTCCGTCCGAGGGAAACCGTCAAGCAGAAATCCCCGGCGGCATTCCGGTTGGCTAAGATGTTTGTCAATCAACTCACACACGATCTCATCTGGCACAAGCTGACCGCTCGCCAGCGTTTCCTTCACCTTCATACCTATTGGTGATCCCGAGGCAACAGCGGCACGTAGCATATCCCCTGGAAGATTATGAGGAATTAACAAAGAACTATGACTAACCTGTCGATAAGTGACACGCCTGGAAGCGTTTGGACAACTTCTCGGCCTTGATAGGAAGGATAAATAACCAAAGATGATTACTTTACCTGTGTTCCTTTTCCGCTTCCCGGAGGACCCAACAGTATAATGTTGGTCTGCGGATATAGGTAATCTCGAATACGGTAGAGTATCTCCATTGGCTGAAAATTCGAATGAGAAATAGACAGTGATCAGGTGGTTGAAATGCAGATTGTAAAACTACGCAGTGAAACAATTGAAACTGACATCTCAAATGTGGTGGAAAACATTATATACATTTATATTTCTACGGCGGAGTGGCGACGACAAGATTGAAAAGGTTGTGACGACAGGAAAAACAAGAGGAAAGGGTTCGCATGAAGAACAAGAATGAAAATATGTTCGATGGTTTTTGCCCATTTCATCTGACGTGGAATATAGAATTTTAACAACTTAATTGCAAAGCATTCGTCTCGTTAGTTTCTACTGTCAAGTGTCTCACAGAGCCTATGATCAAGGCAATTCTAATTCCTATGGCCCCGACTGGCTGTGGNCCCCAAAATCAAGTCCGCAGACGCTTCCACAAGCCGTTTTCACCATGTGCGAAGAGAACACGGAACGGTAGAAAATGGATAGGCTTAGACAAAACACGGCCGAGTTATAGGTGATTTCCTCCTTTGGTGAACGACTAACAGTACCCAAAACGTGACAACGAACCTCGCCACTTCTCATCCAATACTCCCACTGGACAAGAGTGAGGATTCAAAGACAACGTTGAACGAGCACATCAAGTCGATTAACGCCC